CCCGAGAAATGTCCGGTTTCCGAGGGATACGTAACTTTTTGTAATTTACATAGTTCGTATGTTTTCTAATACCACGCGGACGAAGTCGCGGGTAACAGCTCGTTATCAAATAAATCATCTCAAAAATAGTAAGTAAGGACAAAATTTATTTTAAAAATTAAGTGTTTTATAGAAAAAGAGCTTTAAATATAATCTAATATGATAAATGCGGAAATTTGGATGGATGGATGTTTGTTAGATTTAGCACCCTAAACCGCTGAACAGATTTCTATGAAATTTGGCACAGATCAGGGGATAGTCTGGAAGAACACATAGGCTACTTTCATTTGTTTTTTTTTTAATGCACTCGGAAAGAGTCGCGGGCGATAGCTAGTAAAAAGATAAATAACGAAATAGTGATTTATTAAATTAAGCGATTGACACGTAACTGAAGTTGGCACGTCTAACAGAAAGGCAATCTAAGTTCCAATGTGCCAACTTAGATGCAGGAATACTCACTGAGTAGAGTTGAAATTTTATTTTTGTCGTTTCCAAGACGCTTTAACTCATTGTAAACGTAGCTGACATCTGCCGGCGCCGGGTATACATGTTCTTCTACAACTTTTTTATCGGTGTTGGAATATGCTGTCGAAATATGCACGTAAGCCTAGAACATAAGTAACAATTTCTTATAACAAATAACTATTCGTATTATTACACTCCTGTACTAGCACAGTGTTATTTAATTTTTTTCAACATAATTTAGATTGAATCACATAAGTACAGTCAGCACCACAAATATTTAAAAATTTACAAAGCGTCAATAATGTGTGTTTGTTTTATTGTCGCGACGTTATCTATTCGTGAGTAGTGGAATTCATGTCCGTGGAATAATCGAGCTGTTTCTAGAATGTTCTATTGCAGCGACATCTGGTGACGAGTAACAAAATTGACATATGTCGAATAGTCGAGATCGTAGCGCCATCTGTTGACTTGACTTGACTGTACATAATACATTATCCCGTGTTATACAAAAAGAATATGCTAAAATATTATATTATACTAGTATCTATATTACCTGAATATTTTTAATCTTTTTGCATAGATTTAAAACTTTTCTAGTACCTTCATAATTGATTTCTAAAGCCTTCAATAGTGGTTCATTAAAATTTGTCGTAGCAGCCGAATGAATTACTACTGAAACCTGAAAAACAAAGATTTTTATAAAAAAAAACTTTTATGTCTATTTAAAAAATAATTTGAAAAATCTTACATTGTTAATTAGTACGTCTTCATTAGCCAATGATATACCTAAATTATGTTTTTCAATATCACCTGGAATAACTACGATTTTATCTAAAGCTTTCGGTTTTTCTTCCTTTAGCCTTGAAAATATCTGTCAAAGAAAAAACAAGAATATTTTAAAATCATTTAAATAACAGTAAACAACATTATTATAATCTCTAAGCACTTACCGGATTTTCAAGTATGGTATTTAGCCTCACTTGTGCTCTTAAATGTTGCGTTTCTCGAATAAGCATATAAATTTTCTCTATATCTGTACTGTACAATAATTTCTCTACAAATGCCTGAAATGATTCAAATAAAATCACTTAGTCAAAGAATTATTAATTAGAATTCCTTATTTTTTGGATAG